TAGGAATATGTTATTGAGTGTTCCAGATACTGCATAAAATTCATAGAAATCAGACAAGTCCGGGGAAAGTGTCATCAGTTGTAGTTTTGGTTATTGTTTTAAAATATTGTATGCCACAGAAATAACCAAATTTCTTTGTCAATTATATTATAATAAAATCTCATATTTATGTATGACCATTTTTAAGCCTTATTTTTCACACAGAGGTAAATGTTTTACACCCTTTAACAAAACAGGACACCCCAAAGAGTCACATATCTCTGCTCTCTCAAGCCATGTTTGCCCCAGATTGGAAATCTACTCTGCTTTCCCCAGAAAGCTTCATTACATAGTAAATATTCTCATAAAACATCAGTGTATAACATCAACATTCTCAATATTCAAACCAAACTTTAGGTGGAGTTCAACAAAGTCCCAGTAAAGTGGTCTCAAATTCAAACTGCACAAATTGTTATAAAGTTGAATATACGAAATTTCTAGTTTATCTTCTAAAACAAAATTCCTATTCTGTATGTTCATTCTTAAGACATTCACAAACATTAAATTTTTGAAATCATTTCACAGAGCAGTCCAAGGACAAAAATCAGATAGTGCTAATTTTATTCTTCCCCCTGACATTTTTAGTATTTCATAGCATTTTGCATTTTCTTACTATATTTGTATTTTCCTCACATGTAAATCAAGGTGTATGCCATGGGTATTATTTGGCACATGAAAGAGGCATGTAGAAATACAATAACAAATTGCATATTCACCAACAACAATGCAGGTTGTAGGGAGTAAGAGTCCAAAGTTACTCCGTTATTGGATTTTCATAATACCCTCATAAGTATCCTAGTGCAGAGTGCGAAGAAAATAACTCAAGTGCTCTGCATGAGTTATATGTTTGACTCCACCAAGAAAAAAATTGTTATAGATCCTTCACCATTAAGAGTCTAATGGTGCATTGTTACTGTCTCTTATTAAGTATCCTATCAGGTGGGATGAAATGTTGGTAGAAAAAATATGATTCATTCATAACTATAAAAACAAATTTATTAATTAAAACATGAGATCTATCATACATTGTGAATAAAACAGTAGAAAAATGTATTGTCAACAGTTAAATGTGAATCCTATTCTAGAACCTGCTATTCTAGTTCTTTTGATTAAGCTCTCCACGGTAACTGTTCTCCCTTCAATTTTGAGCATAAGATGAATGTTTCACCACTCTTTAGTATGCAACAGCTATTGTCCATTAATGAATAAAGAAGCCACCATCTCCCTTGGATTCTTTCTACTACATATTCAGTCTATAACAAAATATAACTTGTATCCCATAAAAGTCCCAGTCTCCTAAGGTTTAGTGCTGCTATATTTTATGGTGAGTTGGTAAGAGCTTCTCTTTCCTATTATTCAAAGGCCCCTTCTCTGAACACAATAAACGTTATGACTGACATCAAAGATTTACATGATTTTCTGCCCCACCTCTATGCTCTTTCATTCAGACATTATTTACTTTTAGAAGGCACAGACCTGTCTCTTCAAGGATCTTAGATAATAATGACTTTCACCTAATAAAGTAGGCCCTTTCATCCTATTGATTCTTGCCCATGTACCACCATTAAAGGTGTGTAAGGATGCATAATACCAACACATTTCAAAGTGCAGGTTGAAAGTCATAAATAGTTGCCTATGCAAGAAACCCCAAATAATAAATATTTTAAAACCTCAAGGTAACTGGCCATTCCCAAATGTCCTGGTACCTCTGATATACATCATATCATGACTTTTAAATTTTTTTTTACTTTTAATTATCTTGCACTATATATTAGAGGTTAATTTTGGAGAACCAGAGAGTGTGTTATGCCTTGCATAAAACCTCTGATGTTCTACAATTTTGGTCCTTTGGTAGCAGCCTCAGCATGCTCATTATGTTTTTGTGGTACTATCAAAAATGTATATCTTGGGCCGGCCCGGTGGCGCACTGGAGAGTGCGCTGCTTGGGAGTGCGGCGGCGCTCCCGCCGAGGGTTCAGATCCCATGTGGAGACTGGTTCCCGCTCACTGGCTGAGCGCGGTGCAGGCGCAACACCGAGGGTTGCGATCCCGTTGCAGGTCCCCGGTGTGGGCATGATGCCAAGGGTTGCGATCCCGTTACCGGTCAGTAAAAAAGACAAAAAGGAAAAGGGTTGCGATCCCGTTACCGGTCAGTAAAAAAGACAAAAAGGAAAAAAAATGTATATTTTATTGTCTAGTGAGTTGTGAAACCTGAATGAAGCCACATAATGTTTTATGATTTCTCTTTAGTATAAACTCTCTGATCTCTAATGCTTGAACTCATTATGAAGAATCTGCCAATCACTTTTAAGGATAATCTAAAGAATGAATTCTATTATGTTGTGAGAGGAGTGAATTGTACTTGAAAACACTGTCACACATTACATGTGTAAAGCTTCCCACCAGAATGAATTCTCCAATGACTTGCAAGGTGTGACCTTCGAGTGAAGACCTTGCCACATTCATTACATTTGTAAGGTTTCTCTCCAGTATGAATTCTCTGATGAGTTGCAAGGTGAGACTTTCGACTGAAGACCTTGCCACATTCATTACATTTGTAAGGTTTCTCTCCAGTATGAATTCTCTGATGAGTTGCAAGGTGAGACTTTCGACTGAAGACCTTGCCACATTCATTACATTTGTAAGGTTTTTCTCCAGTATGAATTCTCTGATGAGTTGCAAGGTGAGACTTTCGACTGAAGACCTTGCCACATTCATTACATTTGTAAGGTTTCTCTCCGGTATGAATTCTCCGATGATTTGCAAGGTGTGAATCCTTACGAAATACCTTGCCACATTCATTACATTTGTAAGGTTTCTCTCCAGTATGAATTCTCCAATGACGTGCAAGGTTTGACTTTGAACTGAAGACCTTGCCACATTCATTACATTTGTAAGGTTTTTCTCCAGTATGGATTAGCCAATGGGCAGTTATGCTTGAGTGTGCTCTAAAGGCTTTGCCGCACTCCTTACACTTGTAAGGTTTCTCTCCAGTATGAATTTTGTAATGCTTTGAGAGGCTTGAAGCATGATGAAAGACCTTACCACATTCACGACATTTGTACAGTTTCTCTCTAGAATGAACTCTATGACGTGCAAAATCTTCTCTGTCATCGTGTTCATGTCTTTCCAATGTCACTGTGTGAAATACCTGTCTTGTATTCCTTTTCCTTTTTTGTGATAATTCCTTGATGACACACTTTGGAGAAAAATCTACAAGATGTAAAGAATCATAGGTTTCTGATTATATTGGTAAATAAATATTTCATACTGAAATACATACCATTACACAAAAAGTAATACCTCTATTAAACAAAGTTATAAAACTTCCTAATCATGATCCTCAATTTTTAGGAAAACAAAAGCAACAGGAGTCTTAAATAAAGAAAAGGTAACTACATTTAATTAAAATTAATTCTGGGGAAGCCTAGTTTCAAACAACCTATGAGCAAAAACCTCACATTGCACAAACATGTTCTTCCTGACAGAAGGAATATTTTTCCACTGTAACTCCAAAGTGCACACCAATGGCCAGAAAAGATATTGTCTCATGAATAAAAATATATACATATTACACAGGTTTACTGTGCACAAATAAATGCCAATGCTCAATATACTGTAATGATATATAGCTTACTACAAACAATGAAAAATGTAAATAAATGGTAATTCTGAATCACAAAATAATAATAGCACTAAGAAAATGAGAAAAACAATAATAAAACACTGTTAAAATAGACAATACTTTTCTGAATACCTATTATGAAACTATCTATACCCACACAGACCAGGCATATTCTGATATTAAGTAGTTACTGGTGCATGTTAGATATATTAAATAACGTATGCTGAAAACCCATGATCTGTCCATCACAATGAACTCTAATTATATAGTATAATAACCTATGATAAAACCAGTAATCAGATAATTACAAACCATATTTATACAACGTCATGGTCTGTGGAATCCTAAAAAATTATCTCTTGAAAAAAAAAAAAACAACAAAAACCCACTGATTCTTTATTTCAGAAGCAGCACACTATATGAGAGCTGAAATATTTGTGAAGATCACTGATTTTTGATGGATGAGGTCATACCATTATGAAGTATAAGATCAGGCAACAAAGAAAGGTATCACAATGATGACTTCAGGTCTGCAGTTATGTAACAGCCAGTCAATAGAGCTATTTGCTTGTCTAGTTCATTGGCCATAAAATATATATAACAGTTTGCACCGGGAAAATTAACAACTGAGATCAGAGAAAATATTCTTTAAAACAGACTGAAAAAAAGGAACATACACAGTATAATGCAAGCATGATCTGAGTGTTTATGTCGACTACAATTTTTATGCCAAAATCATTCTCCAGTGGATTGTTACTGAAGGTGGGGCCTTTGAGGGATAATTAAGTCATAACAGTGAACTACTCACACACAGGAGTGGTGCCCATATAAGAGACAGCAGAGACCTTGGTTCCTTTCCCTCTTTCCACCATTTCAGGACACAACCAGAAGACCGCTGGGCTAAACTTGGAAGAGGGCTCTCCCCCAGAACCAATTCAGCTGGCACCTTGACCTAGGACTTCCCAGACTCCAGATTTGTGAGAAATCAATTTCTGTGACTTAAGTCTCCTAATCTATGGTAAGATATGGCATGATGAGTTGAATAAGTATCAGACCATCTCACCATAAACATTATAGAACATTGTTCATGGATCTAAACCAATTTACAGAGAAAGTAAGGGAAAGAGAATTTGACCCTTGTATGGCAGTGTCAGACATCATGTCATTAAACACAATTATACACTCTGGAAGTACAAGAAGCAACAGTTCACTGCAAATGCAAGGAGCAGAGAGAGAAATATTTCAAGGCAGATACAAGCGTTGAGCCAGGCTGCTAAGTTTTACTCAGGCACCCCTCATGAATGATACGTGAATCATCATCACCCGCACAAAGTGATTTAGGCAGTGTCTTGAAAAGTTTTGCATTGTATGAGTAGGATCATGCCTTACACAGTGAAAGTGTGGAGTGTGAGGGCACCCTGTGAAAATTGGGGTGTTCAGCAATAAAAAATCAATATGCCAGGAAGTGGTATAATCCATCCAGATCAAGGTACCACGTGAGGAAAAGCCAGGATAAAGGAAGGGCAAGAGTGGAGGGCAGAGAGTCATGGGCATATGGGAGCAGACATTGTACATGAAAGGTGCTGGAAATATAACTGTTCAAGGACACAACATTCTGAATTTAGAAAAAGGAGGAACCGATTTAGCAAATACTATAATAGGGACCCATGCTTAAATGAAAAAGATTTAAAAGGGAGGAGTTTGATGACATGGGAAGAAAGCAGTTTTATATCTCTTAAAATATCTGCCATCAAATTTATCAAACTGAATATTCTATGAGTTGTATTTCCAGCCATATATATTCAACAAAATCCTACATAGAGACTGCAGGAGATATGTGCATGAAAATTCTGATGGGGACCTGGAGGCAAAAACCTGGAAATGGCCATGAAGAGGAGATGATTGAGTTCATTCTGTGCATGCACAGAGAGACAATGAAACTTTATCAAGAGTACAGCAGTGCAGGAGACCATGGGGGCAGAATGACGATCCCTTGGCTGGGTAGGCAGAGATATCTTAAGGAAAACAGAGTTAGCAGAAGTCTGTTTCCAAGGTCTAAACTTGATTATATTGGGGCGGGGGAGAAAAAAGAAAAAAAAAGACACTCACTAACTATAATATTAATTACATAAGTTTTCAGGAAAAAAAAATTGAACAACTTTGACGTATTAAAATTTTGAAGGTAAGTCTTGTTGGTGATATAAATGCAATTGGCTGACTCTTGTGTTACTGGAAATCACTTCACTGGACCTCTTAACACAAACTCTTGTATAAATAAGGTATGAGCAGTGATTATCAGCAAGGTGGCAGACTAAAAATTGCTAGACCCTCATTACCCCATGGAAACACCGACATAACAAATCATGGTTCAAAATATCTTTGGAATATTACATTTTGGGAAAAGTCTAGAAACAAGAAGAGAAGCTGCAGCATCCAAAGGAATACCTAACCAATACAAAATTGAGCAACAAAGGGTAAGTTTGTGAAATTTGCTCTTTTTTTCCCCACCTCTTCCCCAGCACAGCGCAGTGTGGCTCCCTTACTATTTTTTTTTCCCTCTGAACATAAGAAAAAAGTGAAATTTCTGTCATCGTTCTGACTTGCCTGGTGTCTGCATGATGACACAATGAAAGAAACAATGGCATACTTTCTGTATCAGCTTGGATGCTACTGAAAATATAAGTGGGTTCTGCAGTGGGTTAGAGAAGCATGGGTCCTCTACTGCTAGGATGGTTGTGGGGGGCAGGGTGAGAAGAGATTACAGGCAAAGATATACAACAGATACTGAAGGCTGCTGAGAAGAAGAGATAAGTATCTATGAGAAAATAAAAAGATTTTAATCAGCCACATATGCTGAAGTAAATGCACACATGCACAGTCAGCGAAGATGTAACCCCAGAAAAGAATTGAAAGATCCAAGAACTTTACATTGGGCTAAGTAGTGCAGGTCTTTCCCTCTGTGAAGCTAGTTTACAAACACTGGGAAAGGTGGCTGTTTTTACAATGCCCAGAACAACAACAGATTACAAGTCCTACAAAAAGACCATCACCAAATAAGAATAGTGTGACTCTCTAGAAACACTAAAGTCAGAAGAAATACATCCTGCTGAATTACTTAAAAAAATTTGAAACAAGTGTCTTTTAAAGAAGTTCAATGGACTAAATTGTAACAGAGATAAACTAAAAGAAATCAGAAAAAAAGTTGTATGAATAAAATGTGAATACAAAGAGACAAACTATTGAAAAGAACCAGAACAAAATTCTGAAGCTGAAATACTATAACTTAAAATTTTTACTACAGTAATTGAGGAGCAGAGTAGATAAGGCAAAAGAAAGAACAAGCAATCTTGAAGACAAATTAGTGAAAATTATTCAATCTGACAAGCAAAATGAAAAGATAATAAGAAGCAAACAGAGCCTAATAAACTTTTGGAATAACATCAAGCATACAAATATACATGTTATGGCAGTCCCACAAAAAGAGAGGTTCAGAGTGCTCACGTGGAGAAATAATAGCCAAAACTTTCCATAGGAGTTAGAGAAAAAAATGAATGTACAAGGTCAAGAAGTTTAATCAACCCCAATTAGGATGAACCCAAAGACACCATCACATATTACATTAGAAAGAAACTATCAAAACTCAAAAGCAAACAGAAAGTGATGAGAGCGGCAGAAGAAAAGAAATTTATCATATACAAGAAAATCTGTATAAGATTATCTCCATTTCTCAGCAGAAACCTAGCATTACAGAAGGCAGGAGAATATATTCAAGTGCTGAAAGAAAATATTAACCAAGGTATTATATTTGGCAACATTCTCCTTCAAAAAAAATTAGAGACCTATTTTACAACACGGAATAACAATATAACATATAATCGAAAATCAGTAAGAATTTAAGTGTTCATACCACAGAAAAATTGTAAATATGTCACTTAACATGTTAATTAGCTTAATTTAGTCATTCCTCCAATGGATACACATTTGAACATATGTTGTCAATACAAATATAAAAAAATGGAGGCAGTTCACCAGGACTCTAGACCTGCCCCATAAAAAATTAGTAGGGGAGTCCTTGAAGTTGAAAAAAAAAAAGAAGATGCCAAAAAGTAACTCCACTACAGAAATATAAAGTTCTCCAGTAAAAAAAATGAATATAGAATCCTGTATTATAGTACTTTTCATTTGTAACTCAACTTTCTTTCTTTTTTTTTTTTTCCTTTTTGTCTTTTTTTACTGACCGGTAACGGGATCGCAACCCTCGGTGTCGCGCCCATACTGGGGACCGGCAACGGGATCGCAACCCTCGGTGTTGCGCCCGCACCGCGCTCAGCCAGTGAGCGGGAACCGGTATCCACATGGGATCCGAACCCTCAGTGGGAGCGCCGCTGCGCTCCCAAGCGGCGCACTCTCCAGTGTGCCACCAGGCCGGCCATGTAACTCAACTTTCAATTATTGCCTAGCATTTAAAAAGCAAAGAATATAAAAAGATTGTAAATATGTACTAATGGGAACACAACATATGTACAGGTACTTTCTGATGCTGGTAACACAAAAGGTGATTGAAATTGTATTGAAATTGTTGTTGTATGTGATTAAAGTTTTTATAGTTTTAAATAGAATATATAACTTTGAAATGCTTTATGTACCTAGAATGGTAAACACAAAGAACATATCTATAAGATATAAATGGAAGAAAATTTGATGGCCACCAAAGCATATGACTGCAAGAAAAATCATGGAAACGGAAAAGAACACACTAAAGAATAAGATGAAGCTCAAAAGTCTGTAATACATACAGATAATATTTAACAAAATGGCAGCAATAAGGCCCTCCCTATCAGCAATATTTTAAATGCAAATGGCTTAACTCAACAATCAGAAGGCACAGGTTAGATGAATGTAGACAAAAACAGGATATAAACACATGTTGTACATAAGAGACTCACTTGAGCTCTAAGGACACCCAGAGCCTGAAACGAAAAGAACGGAAACAGGTATTCCACGGATATGGTAACCAAAAGAGAGCAGAGGTGGCTATACCATGGTCAGACACAACAGGCTTTAAATCAAAAACTCTTATAAGAGACAAAGAAGTGATAGATCTTGAATATAACCAGTGCAATTTTAGGCAAGGCCAAGCACAAAATGGCCACCAACCCCTCCCTGCTTCCCTTTACAAGAAGCCTCGTGACTTCAGCAAAATAGAAACCCTTTTGCTTCCACATGGGTGCAATGCCCCTCCTTGACTGCTTCAGCCAGCCCTTGGTGCCCTACAGCCCATAGAAGCTCTCCCACCCCAATGACAGTTGCTGCTCTCCGTTTTGAGTTCAGCCCAGCAGATTCTTTTCCTTTAATAAAGCTTGATTGGTACCTGGTATTTTGGCTCACTTTCTTTCATTTTGGTGCCTAAACCCAGGAAGGTTCCTGGCCGGGACCTTCGGACGATCCCCTCTCTTGGGCTGATTGGCCCCCTGACCACCCTTCCCGGACCTACGAAACTGGGTACCTCCGGGACTCTCTCCTCTTCATGTTTCAGGCCAACACATCCAACATCAGTCTCAATTCAGGGTGAGTCAGTGGGTCTGTCCTACTTCTATGGGTTCCCATGACTACTCTCTATGACTACTCTCTACTTGCTACAAAGCCCAGGTGCCTGGCTGAGGGAACCCCTCTCGTGCCCCCCAACTATTGGAGTATGTTAATCTAGCCAGTAGGTGGATCCTCTCTCAAAAAGAAGGCACACACCAACAAGGATGCTCATTAGAGTTACCCTTCTTCTACTGGGACTGATCACCTCCTTTCTCACCCTCTAAATGGGATTGTCACAATCCAAACCTTCATGGCTCTATGCCCTTGGGCTTTCTCCTGGCCAACATAAACCAAAATGTCTCGTTTTCTACAACCCATTGGCCTCCAGGGAGACATTAAACCTAAACGTCTTGTTTCCTCCACACTCTACACCGCTGGGCTATCTCCTGGCCAACCTCTTGGCATCCAGGGAGATATTAAGCAC